ACCCCTCCTAGAATAGCTGTTGGACAGGGCGGACAGGATCATCGATTAAAAAATCGAATTTGAGACACGAAAGATGAAGTGAAGGGTATGATGGGCTTCAAAACGCCCGGCATCTTATTCATCGAAAAGCATGCGACTCCAAAATGTTTCGCACCTATTGAATAACTGACAATGTGGGAGGGAGTCGTATGTTGTTCGAGTGCTCAAGTTAACCTTCTGCTTCCTGCTGATTGAAGCAACTGAACTGCGGTTATGCATTAATCCACCAAATTTACTTCAGATTTCTCACTGAAAATTCGCCAAAGGCAAAATCAGAGCAAGGACAGGTGAGGGGGGGGGGGGGAAGGGCACCTCTCTTGCCATGAAATGACCTTTTATTAGTCGATTTGACTTTGGCCAAATGGGCCATTTTGGGCCATTGGCACACACACACACACAAAATATACTGTATATATATACAGGGTGGGCCAAAAAAAAACACAAAGCTATCATTTTTGTTGAGTTATCAGTCTGACTGTAAGCAACCGATTCTGATGAAATTTGACATAGGACAGGGACATAGGATGACTCAATTAGGGTTTGTGTGTCGAGTTTCAAACCAAAATTCCAAAAGCTGTGAGATTGGCATTTAATTTACATTTCATCACCGAAAAAAGTGTTCACTTTTTCTTTCAACTTAAAATTTCTCACAACTGACAAAAAAAAAAGCAAGCAAACAAGCAGAACAAAAACAAAAAGCGCAAATGCCGAAAACAAAAGCACACAATTTTGTTTAAGTAGGTTCATTTAAACTGAAAAGGCGCTCAATGTGCCATCCATTCTGTTGAACACAAGCCAATAAATCAGAGCACAAGGTCGATAAATCTTGGAGGCAGTGCCTCCCAATCTTCCTCTATATCATCATGCAAGGATACAAGGTCATGAATTCAGTCCTCCCGTTCCTCCCGGCCTCGAGTTCATATCGCTATTTTCGACAGCACATTTTGTCGTGGGTCATCAGAAAATAGATACATCTCCTATAATTTTAGAAGCCAGAAGGCCGAAATTCGGCATAAAAGCTCCGATTGTGTCACCCTATAAGCCTACCAAATTTCATCGGAATCGACAACCAGCAATGACTCCCCAAAAACGACTGCTTTGTTTTTTTTTTTTTTTGGCCCACCCTGTATATATATAAGGAACATAGATAGTGAAAAGGAAATACCAATGGTGCCTGTCCCACCCAAACCAATCTAGGCGATGGGGGAATGAACCCCACTACTATTAAAAATTCCTTGAATAAGAAGCCTCCTGTTTTGCCGAGCAACCCATTGCATTGGTTGATGTACGCAATTGAGTCCACTTCATAGTATCCCTATGCAGGCGGGTTTTATTATTTATTTTATTATTATTATTATATAAGTACGAAGTGGACTCAATTGCGTACATCAGCCAATGCAATGGGTTGCTCGGCAAAACAGGAGGCTTCTTATTCAAGGAATTTTTAATAGTAGTGGGGTTCATTCCCCCATCGCCTAGATTGGTTTGGGTGGGACAGGCACCATTGGTATTTTCTTTTCACTATCTATGCGCCTTGGTGGGAAGCAGGCCACTGCCCTACCAGGTAATCGCTTAAAAAGCCGTTCTTTATTAAACATAGGACTCGACATTATAAGGAACATAGATATAAAAAGGAGTTGGCCAAATTAGCAAATACCAAAAAAGGCAGTGAAACTGCTCTCATTCAAGACGTGTCTAAAGATTGAATAAAAGTAGAACCGCGATGCCCCTCCAAGACAAAGCTACACCATGGCAACAGGCCGGATATGCCTGGCCTCTAGTCTAGGAGAAGAGGACAGAAAAAATCAAATCCCAAAACCACACTATGGCAAAACAGCATGCAGGGTTGGGGCAAAGCTTAAGAAAGGAAAGCGAAAAATGCCATCCTAGAAAATTGTCAGACGGCCTGCGTCATCAGCTCGGCTCAAAGCTCAGCTTATCGTCGATGATGACACCAAGACATATTGCTTCGTGAACCGGAGTGATCTCCAAGTCATTCACTGTCAGTTTTGTGGTGAGGAGTTGAAGCATTTCTATCTTTCTTAAACAAGCGTTAGAAAAAAACCAGCTCTTGGCACTTAACGGGATTGAGAAGTTGATGATGAAGAAGATGATGTTGTGCTGACCAATCGACAATCCGTCGGACTTCCTCAGAGTACGCCCGAAGATCATCATCGTTCTTTATTGAGGGAGCAATCTTGCCCCCGCCCCGCCCTCTCCCCCTCCCCACTCCCGTCACGCAAGAAAACAACATCCTAGCCCTGTATTTCTTAGCAGAATCAATTGTAATATTTTCGCGTTTTTTAATATTGAATATGAATTACCATGGATGCCTTGTCTGGATCATGCGCTACTTAACGCATTACTTTGATGAAAGTGCGACGGGATCGATGATGTTTCGAATTTCGAGTGACGGCATTGGAGGCCATCTTTTTTTCCTACATTTCACCTCTGGTCAGTTGTCCCCTGCAGCGGCGTAGCGTCGGGAGGGCAAGGGGAGGGGGTGGGGGCAGCACGCGCCTCCCCACTGCTCAAGAAACGAAGCCAACAAAAAAGAAGGAAAAGACTCAGAAATGCATAATAGCATCGATGAATTCCCCCCCCCCCTCCCACTTTGTCCTGTGCTCCCCCACTTTTTCCATCCACGCTACGCTTATGCAACGCTTAGACATCCCAGTCGTTGCAAAAAAATACGATTCATGAAATCTATTGAGACAAGAAGAGCCTCCTCACCTTGAATCCTTTCATGAAGAAAAATTCAAGGTTTTCCTTGCGCAGGGATGTAATATTCTCCTTGTAGGTGTGCTAGTGACTGGCTGGAGTACACTGTTTCAATGCATTTCGCATCTTCAAATGGGGGGGGGGGGGGGGGGGGGGGGGGGGGAAGGGGGCGTGGAGGGCTCAGAACACGACGGACTCGGATGGGCAAGACCGCAGGAATACGTGAAAGGTTTGATCGTTAAGGCCATGTGGATGGCGCCAATGATGAAGGGCGGTGGGAAATTGGGGAGATGTCCCTGGGGGGGGAAAAGAAGCCTGCATTCCAGAAACCAGTGGGTCGCCAGGGCATTGCTTGCATTATTTTAAGACCAAGTTCAACTCTGAAAATTCTCTGAAAGTCGCCATTATATTCCAGAACTCGCTGTGGAAACTCAACGCTCATTAAAGTCACGAAACTTGAGGAAGAGGAAAGCACAAATGACACCAAACAGAACTAGTTACAAGTGAAGCGACTCTACCCCCAGTGAGCATATTTCGCTCCACGAACGAAGAGTATTTTAGGCACAAATAATGAGGAACTTTGATGGAATTCGGATTTTGGCATCTCGTACGACCAGGGAACCCATCGTAAATCCGCTGACCATCTCCGAATGAATATACGTTGAATAATGCGGGGAATGCGACGATCTTGAGAGAATGCAATGAAGACGGATTTCAGATTGGGAAATGAGATGACCGGCGATTTTCGCAGACCCGACACGACTGATGGAATGAAAAAGCTTGCAAGGGCGTAAATGGTCGTAATCCCCAATTTGGGGGAGAGTAAGCGGCACGATTTCGGCCGCTTTTCCTTGCAAATTATACGAAGTGCCCATTCTTGTCATCTCGAGAATTTCAAGAGGCGTGAGTCAGCACAAAAATCTTACCATCTTATGCATGGTACGCTTCAAAACCGCCAGGTTCGGTCGGAATTTCGCTCGGTTGGCGGCACTGCCCGTCCGCGGTCCGCGGTCTAAAGGGGGCTTAGAGGAGGCTTAAAGGGGTTCAAAGGTTCCGTTTCCGTTTATTTTAGGCGATATTGTGTCAATACGCTCTGTGACCTGAATAAATAATAGTACTCCGGGAGGAAAAAACATTGGAAATAGAGGGAAAGCCATTAAAGAGTCAGCATCGCAGGAACCGAAGCTTACATCCTCCGAAAAGGATCACACCCTCTTACATCCTCCGAAAAGGGTCACACCCTCCGAATCCAATCGAAAAGTGGGACAGCTCGCGAGCAGACGATCTCAGGAAACGGCGCGCGCAAAAAAGTAGAGACTCGGAAATCGCAACGCCACCTCTCCTCTCTGGAAATCCTCATGCCGGAATCGCGACACCCGACGCCACCCCGCATTTCATCCTCACCACGAAACGACATCTCCAAGCCCCGCAGTCCCACTCCGACACCCAAGGCAAACCGGGGAACTGAAGACTCTCCTCGTCACAGGCAGCTGTCGCGTCTTCGCCATCCGGAATTCAGTGTGGGTTCAACGAGCGACGGGAGGACGTGAGCGTCGTGGGCGTTCCATGCTTCAGCTGCAGTCTTGCCGTTCGACTCGGGCTTTTTTCCTCCGGGATTCTTTCAAGTTTCCTTTCGATTCGTATCACAAACGGTTCAAGTTAGTTCGCGTTCGCAGTCGGAATCAAGCGCTTCTAGGAATTTACAGTCGGTTCGAATTTTTACTCTTGAAATTTCAATCATTTCCTGTTAGCTTTGCCACGATCTATCCCCAGCCTTGAAATATTTATCGGTCGTAGGAATCCCATTGTTTTCTCGGCGGCATCGAGGTCGAGTGGAAATTCTCACTGGCAGAAGTTGACATTTTCCTCATGCATGAAGTTTCTGTGCTACTTTTAGCCGGCGCTCTTCTTTTTGCCGACTCGTTTGTTGCATAAATATGAGAATCAGGCTCGGTGAATCGGGACACAAAAAGACCGATATACAGGATACTATGGAGTTAATACTTCTTCACATTCAGCTATAGGCATATCAGCACAACCCCAGTGCAGTTCCGCCTAAATGGGATTTCAGCAGTCGGATATAAGGGACATTTCGTGTTGCGGGCCAGAATGGAGAAGGGGAGGGGTTGGTAGGTTTTGCGGGATTTCACATAGTTCGTAACTATCCCAGCGTAAAAGAGACGGTTAGGTTCTGAGTAGCATCACCTGTTTACTTATTGCTTCATGCTTTTTCTTTTAGCATGAAAGGTGTTCCTTGTTTTGAACCTACATTCCTCCTATGACAGATCACGACTGTCTTGCCGCTCACTGCGAATCACACGCTTCTCCTCTGTTGTCCTCAGGCAGACAATATCGCAAGAGAATTGAGCACCCGGAAGTTTGGAGAGGGGGCGCAAGCGCACTGCACACTCGGCGGCTCCTATTCACAGGACTCAGAGCTCCGATCCGAGCTGCCCTCCCTTCCCCTCCCCTCGGCGGCTGCGAGCGAGTGGGGGATGTACGAGTCCGGCTCGGTTTTGAGTTCAGTCTGCCGCCGGACGCCCTTCGAATGGGGTGGCTCTGCTCGCGCTGCGTTCTCGTCTCGATCCCCTCCCTCCGCTTCCTTCCTGTTCTTTCCTTCCAATCCTTTGTCTCCTCCCTCATCGTTCCAGTTCGTCGACATGACAGTCCTCCGGAATCATAGTGGGTGATCATGGGAATCCGTGATCGCCACCTCGGAGTGAGCCTATTCGGCTTCATCTCTCTCAGCCTCCTCTCCTGTTGCTCATCGAAGAGCGAAGAATTCGAGCACAGTGTGTTCTTGGAACCCAACGAGCGTGTTCTCTTGTCTTGGACGGTCCGCGAGGAATTCATCACGTTCGAGGTGACTGCGAGGACTCTGGGCTACGTGGGAATCGGCTTCTCTGCTAACGGACGCATGGATGGAGCCGATTTCATGCTTGGATGGGTCACCAATGGCATCCCCTACATACAGGTTAGACACTCTATGGGGGTTATGACCTTCATGTGGCTCTAATCACGTTGAGAGCTTGTCTTTAGCATTCATGCGAATCATTGAGTCTAAGAGGCTCTTGAGTCACCTCATGACTCATAATGAGCCAGGTGGATTGGGACACGGTGCCCGATGTGATCGAGTTTCTCCCCTTCGTTTCCCCTCTGCTCATCTGTGTAAAGAGCCAAGTGTTGTCGCCTGTCGCTGCCGATTGATGAATGAATCTTCGTTTCCCATCACCACGCGAACTCGGATCATCGTTTCCATCCGTCACATGTAACCGTATATCAGTCTTCGAGATTCCTTTCTCGAGATTAATGATAAGGGAAGGTGAAAAATGAGAGACCCGGCCCCTCGTAATAGTGACATCAGGTGCACCTGGACGTATATATGGGAGAAGATACTAGATGAGACCGGGCCGTGGAGGATTCTCAAAGCCGGGAATGTATGACCTGCTGGGCTTGTCTGCTTCTGGAAGCTACTTTCATCCCATTTCGTTAAATTTGTTGTTCCTCTTGCCTTTTGACTCTCAAATTTACGGCGCAGGGCGGGTCCCCGCCAAAGACCCCGTGAGATGATCCTCTTTATGCATTCTCTCCAGTTTATGGTTATTGCCGACTCCCTCGAGACTGTTCTGAGCCCTCCGTCCCATTGCTTAAGGGCTTTCTGCATACCCCCTCCATAATCTTCGTATGGGTCCATAGATGCCCGAGGTGCCAGACTGCTGCCATAGATCATATCGCTTGGATCGGAGGAATTTATGCATTTTTCTTGCTCGGCGTGGAGAAGCGACAGATATTTATTTATTTTTTCCTTGTCTTGTGGTCGACGACCCGAGGAGGATTTGTTTCGCTTTCCCCCCCTTGAAGCCTCAAGGGAAGGGAAAAATTTCCCCCAGGCCGATATGAGGAGATAAGAAGCTGGCGGCTTCCTCGTTGCAATGGAAACCTCATACATTCCTATAATCCAATTTAGAAGAGAAGGGAGGAGGAGGCGGTTCGTAATGCTTGATTAATGTGGTCATGGGTGGAGAAAGAAAGAAAGAGGCGTATGAGATATTCATATGAGGCATTAGAGTAACCAACAAAGCCTCCCTCGCGCGTCCTTGAAGGCCTTTTTTTGTCGTCAAGTTTTGTTTCATCCTCGTTTATTCGTAGAAGGCCTGGCGAGATAATGATCAGCGGGAAGGCAGGCAGTCCGACCTTTGTGAAAATGAGTCAGTCTAACATAAGAAAGGAAGGTGGGAGAAGAAACCCGGAGGCCATTTCCCCCTTTATCTTTTGGTCTGGTTTTTAAATTCGCGCTTCAACTCCCCTCATTACCGTCCGTTCTCTTTCTGCACCGCGTGAACACGACGGACTCGGATGGGCAAGACCGCAGGAATACGTGAAAGGTTTGATCGTTAAGGCCATGTGGATGGCGCCAATGATGAAGGGCGGTGGGAAATTGGGGAGATGTCCCTGGGGGGGAAAAGAAGCCTGCATTCCAGAAACCAGTGGGTCGCCAGGGCATTGCTTGCATTATTTTTTCTCTTCTTTCCTCCATCGTCCTTGCTCGAACCTATCGATCCCGGTCCTCGAAGTCACCTGAGACTGGAGAAAATTTTCTCTCTTCTATCGATCTCGATGACCAGCTCTCATGAAGCATAACACGCGAGGCAAGAGTGGATCCGGAGAATTCAATTCCCTTTTCCCTGGCTCGCGTGAGTTTCTCGGCTGTATCTCATTTATATCTGGCTGGTTGGGAAGAGTGCTGGTGCTCGTACGATGACTATCATGTCTTCTGCGTGTCCTCGTTCAATATGATGTCGATCCCCAAACAAGATCAGCCAGGAAACCCCCATAGCGTGGAAATCATGGTTCGGATCCCTCAGTATGAAATGAGGAATAACCTGGGCTTCCTGAAAGGGTGGTGTGTATGAGCGGTGAATGGAATCGTGTTCACGCCCGAAAGCACAACAGGGGGATTGACCCGCATCTTCCCCAGGGCATTGTCATTTTTCCTCCCAATTACCCAAAACACGAAACCTGATAATGGAAGGTTAGGCGCCAGGCAGCCACATTCACCTGGTCATGTCATGATGTGTTTTGTTTTCCCAGGCAGCGACGAGGAAAGGCAATCCCAGGCTTCATCAAAATAAACACCTGCCTCTTCATTACACTCCTCATCCGGTTCTGGGGAAGCCGAGGGGAAACGAAAAATAAAAAACTTGTAGCCTTCTAACATTTCAATTTATTTAGATGTTCCGAAGTTGATTGATTAAATTTTTCTGCAGCTTGACCGACTTGGAATGACATGTCCAGTCCAGAAAAGGGATATTTCTCATGGGAATGCGTAGCACCTGGCAAACAAGATGTGCAGGGGAAAGCAGACGGAGGATTTAGCAAGAGTAGGTCTAGGTCTGTGGAATGGATAAGTTAATCCACGGGGTCCTATTGTGCGGATGGAAGGCGGCTAGTTAGGACGCTTTTGTGCCCTGCACTGCTCCCCTGTTATTGCCCTATCGATCATCCCTTCCCACATGGATGAGAAGCTTTTTTTTTTCTCTTCTCTATGCACACCAACCAAAGAGGGTTCGAAGAGAGAAAAAAAAAAGATGTCAAACCATAGGCTTTCCTTCTTTGCCCCCAAGGAAGACATGACTCGGCACTTAGAAAGAACCTTCCGAGAAACGCACGAGCGAGAAATGTTAATGAACTTGCAATGACAAATTGTTCATTTATGCAATAGGGAGAGACGGAAGGACGTCTAAATCTTTTTTTGAGGAGGGAGGGAAAAACGAAAAAGACCATTATCCGCGAGAGGGATCGTTATCGCCGATTCAGGGTCCGAAGAGAGGAGAGTGGCCTTCATTATTCCAATAATTGATTCTTTGCAAAGAGAGAGCTGAATAGATGAGGGAATGGACGGGTGTGTTGACTTGCAATGGGTCTCTCCGGAGGGGGTTTCAATGCCCCAGATATAAATACGCCATGAAATATGACTGTCACACGCTGCGAGGACCCCCGCTGGATGAAGAGCTAGATTTTTTTTTTCTCTCTTTCTCTTGCCCCCCCTTCCCCTGAAGAGTCGCCAACGCAAACCGTCTCATTAGCCGCAATGAAGGGAGTCTCAGTCTTGGGAAGAGACGACATCTGTTGTCACACGTCAGCTGTCTCGGGAGGAAGATCTCCCGATATTTCTCTTTAGATTTCCGAAGGGATTCCCCCGTCGATGAACCGCAAGCTCCAGTGCCTGTGTTTGACAAGAACATGACTTTGCTTCTCTTTTTTCTATCTGAGGTTGTTGCTGTGACATCCCCGATGATGCATGCCCGTTTGTGTCACAGAGTGAGAGGAGTGACAGAGAGAAACAAGGCCCATAAATGCTTCCCTCTCCCTTGATCTATGTTCTACTGTTCTGGGGTGGGCCACTCCGTGAATTACGACCTAGATGGAGCCTCTGATTACGGTATATTCCGTGAAGCAAAGGAGAGAAAGAGTTATGGCCCTTTCCAGCCCTTGTTTATCATGTGACAGAGTCTATTTGATGGCGAGCATCGTCTGCCCCTAGTCTGCCTCAAGGTTTCATCTGTCAGACCACAGGGGAGAAGACTCTTTCAGCTTCTTCTCCGAGGCGGAAAATAAATGTAGTTTCATTTTCGTTTTTCCTAGCCGGAATTTTTTTCTTTCTTCGTGACTTTTAAGTGGTTTTTTTTTTTCGCTTCATAGAATTTTGTTTCGATTGAAAGTAGGAAGTACTTGAAGAACGCAAATAGCGGGGAACGTAAACGTTTTTGTTTCCAAGAGGGGCACGATGTACATGACATTTTGCCGCGTATTCCATAGTATCCAGTCCGGGTTTGGAGAATGAATTAGAAATAACATTAGCATGTAACACGTTCGGTGAATTGGCGGGACGTTTTATTAGAAATCTGCTGGAGTGAATGATCTCAACTAATGCAGAAAATATATTTGCTTCTCCATGCCGGCAAAAAAAAATATACGAAACCAGTTAGTACAGAATTTGCATTATGTTTCTGCTTCGTTCTCTCTTCTCTGGTGAAGTCCGTCTTCTTTTCAGTTTTTCTCTTTATATTATGATTTAATTTTGTGTTCCATTTTCCTTTCCGGTATTTTCCCCGCTTTTCCCTGGATCTGGTGAGGAAGATGGAGTGTTGTCAGAGGATCAGGATGGTCTGTTAAGGGAGATGACACATGGGGGTCCCTCCTGGGGGATCCCATTGTCCCCGTGCCTACAATTTATGGCTTCTCTCGCTTTTCCCCCAACAGAGGGCAACCATCTCTCTCCCCCCATTGCAACTGCAACTGCAGGGTATATAAGAGAGAGAGACCTTTTTTTTTCCCCTCTTCGATAGATTATATGGTCCCCGTCGGATTATTTATATCGCCTCATAATGCCCGGTTGGCTCTCACATTAAGGAGGGTTGTGCACACAAAGGCACTTTTTCTTCGCATCGATTGCCCTGATGAGAGCGACCATTTTGACGACGACTAAAGGGCCATGTAGAGAGAGAGAGAGAGAGCGAGAGGATCGTCCTTGAAGAGAGTTCGTGAAGAGGGCATGAAGCCTCTCCCTAGAGGTGCAGGCGTGACTCGAGAATTGGGAAGAAAATTTCTCTCATCACTATTTCATGGCCCTGGGGCTTTTCATCAGGATCTCACCGGGTGGGATGCTGAAAGAGTGTTGGGTTGATTTAGCACAACTTGCCTTCCATCTCACACAGACGAGGGTCATAAAGGCAAAGAGAGAAGATTGGTTCTTGATAAGATTTCTGCTCACTGCAGTCTTTGTCTCTCCCTTGGGGATCAGGGAAACCCATTTCAAGCCTGCCTCCTCTCCTCCCGATGCAATGCATTGCAATTGAATCTCCTTTTTGATCTCCTTTGTTGCCCCTTATGACGCATCTCTTTCCAATTCAATAGTGGAAGACAGGAATGCGTCAACAGGATGAAGGAACCATCCTATTTGTTCCGGGAGGGGGAAGGCTACGGTGTTTTTTCTACAATGCCTAGAGTTTTTTCCTCCTCCCCATTCAGGACCGGGAGGTGAGGTGAAGGTGAAGGCACGGCGCATGTAATTGCTCCATGCATGAAATCCCACGTGACTCTCGGGACTTCCTTCCCCATTTGTCACATACTGTCACATGTTGGCCTACGGGTGGCCTCTCTGTCTCTGTCTCGCCGTCCCTCTTTTTAGAGGGAGAGGGGGGGAAAAGAAAAAAAGAAAAAACATCAGTCAGATCCTTATCAAGATTCTCATTTCCCCGACTATCGCCAGTCATTTCCACTTTGATGGCTGGAAATGACAACTAAATTACGATCTGCCAAACAGATCTAGCTCGAATGCGTTTCCTGTTTACCAAAGGGTAAAGGGATGCAATGAAAAGCCGTTGTCCGGACTTAGAAGAGGACCTCGTAGACAGGAAATACCAATTCGAATTTTTGTCGTGGTCATGGTGATCCGTCATCCGAGTGATATTGAATCGAGTCGCCCATTGAGTTTCATTTCCTCTCTAGGGAAAAAAGACGAAAGATCCTCGGACTCACTTCCTTTCTCGCTATTGTGTGTCTCCGACCTTGATGGACACACCCTTAGAGGAAGTTCCCACATCCCGCAAGTCTCGTTATACTGGTAGAACACAAAAAGAAGCAGGGGGGAGGGAAACGTGGGCGAGATTTTCCGAAGCAGAAGGGATGTGATAACGTTTCTCTCTCTAATCAGGGGAGGGAGATTGCATTATATCCCGGAATCCATAATGAGATATTCTCCAGGGCTTGAAAATCGCGCTTAATTGGAAGAACCTCCCCTCTGTGCTATGTGTGTAATTGTGGCAGCCATGGGAATGGGAATCTCCATTCAGACACTTTATCTGATTTCCCATTGTTACACGGGGGGAAAGAATAAAAAAAAAAGTCAAAGTAACGCCCTTGCAGTCCCATTATCCCAGCCAGCATCCGATCCGTACTGTCATGCAGGGAGACTTGGATGAGATTAGTGAGCAGTTTCTTCATTGGCCTTCGGGGCATACGAATCTCGTTGGATGTTATTGCAAAAGCAATGGGAGAGGACCTCACCCCCTGATTGATCAGATCCATAATCAGAACAAGTTTTCACATGAGATCCACGTGGCATACGAGTCAAGAGATAGGAGAGGCACTTGGAGGTCACGAGTGGGTTCCACGAGAGGACAGGAGGAAGACAATATGAGGACAAAAGTCGCCTCTCTGTCCTTTTCATGAGGTTGCTCCTTTTCCTCTCGAGGATCTTCCTCCCCTGATTGATCCATGCAAATAAACGAGGGAGGGACAGTGGAGTGTGTTTGTTTTGGAACGGGATCCTGTCTCGCGACCCAAATGGACCTCCATGTCCCCCCCAAGGCCCCCATCCATCCCTATTCTCTTCCCTTTTTTCCTCTCTATTTCTCCCGCATCGATAAAGGGAATGGGGGAAGCGAATGACTTGTTCTAGTGTGACTGACCCTCCCGGTCCTGAATAATTTACAGCGTTTAAATATTTCCTTCCGACACTCCCCCTCCCCATGCACCACGCATTTATCGGTTTCAATCTGTGCAGAGCCAGTTGGAAGAGTGATTGTTGGGGGATATTTATGCGAGAATCGTCATGCATTCTCTCTCCCGGGAAAAATTTAGCTCTTGCAGCCTGTTTTGGCCACATTGATGGGTCTTTCGTCTTGCGTCTAAATGTCGAGTTTCATGGACGAAAGCTGCTGCCGCTGGCAAGATAAAGGGAGGGGAAAAAACTTTATGGTGGACGATAGGCAGGGGTTCATGCATGCGGAGTCTATTTCCGCTGCACTGCCTCATTTACCCCCATGCATCGTGTAGGGGCTGTCCCCTCATTTCCCCTTCCCTTCCCCACCAGATGACGTCATAAACCCCAATCTCGTCCTTGCCAAAATCTCTCTCACTCCCTCCTTTTCGCAATTGGCAATATCATGCACGGAATCTATGCATCTGATAAAACATCCCCTTTGTACTGTAGGCCAGGTTGAGATGAGTTACTGAGGGAAGTTGCCAGAACGAATAAAGACAGCAACATGTTTTCTTCTTCCCTCTCTACGTGGAAGTGAAGAAAGGAGGACGTGGAAATACAGACCTTTTCGAAGGAGGGAAGAGCAATTTGGTGCAGGGGAAGTCGACCGGTTGTGCCTTCCCACGCCTCTTTTTCTCTCTCTTTCCTCCTGCGTTTCCTTCTTGCTCCATTTCTCCCTTCAGTCAGACTCGAGGGATGGGAATTGAGAGGATTGATTGGTGAAACCAGAGATGGAAACCCTAGAGAACGAGAGACAAGCCGGGGATCAGAGGACAATGAAATCTGGGGGGATCCTCCTCTCTTCAAAGAATATAAAAAAAGAAGGAAGAAAAATGATCCCAAGGAAAGGAAGTAAGGCTTCTCTCCTCGATGACGTTGATGATCGTCATGTTCGTGTGTCTGTATGTGTTCCCATCTGGGGAGGAGTGTAGAGTGACAGACAATGCCGCAAATGAGCGTTTGAACAAACCATAAGTCGTATTTCCGTCTCAATCCATGCCCTGCAGAAGGAAAGAATGACTAGGAAGACCAAGGAGAAATATTGACCTTCTGGATCTTTTCTTGTCTTTTTCTGTCCGTCTCATGGTGTTGACCCTTCCCTGGGAGTGGAGAACCTTTACAATCCTAATGACGGATCATCATCTTCAATTCTGCCAAGTGTTATGTCCACGTATTTTTTTTTTAGCCCCGAGGCCATCATGGCCGCGATCGGACGTTGATCCCCGGAGAAGAGAGAGAAAAAAAATGGCGTTCACACGTGCCTCCTTGCCTCGAAATACCATTAGTGGAGAAAACAAACTGTGAGGTGTCAATATTTGCCACGCTTCTCCCCGCCTAGCTAATATCCATATTTGGACAAAAAGAGAAATCTCCCATGGGAGGAAGAGAGTGAGAAGCACCAATCATGCTTCCATGTTTTCCCTAATAACGGAATAACATGGTCTTCCTTCTGTTCTGTTTTGGTTTCACTCACTCGCTGCTTGATGAAATTCCGAGCTCTGTTTCCCCTGCGAGTTATTCCCATGGTAACGGGGAGGAAGAAGTCAAACAATCCCTTCTCACGTGTTGGCAATTGCAGGAACGACGGAGATGGTTGTGCTTCACGCAATCCGTACAGAATGGGCATCGAGGGCCCCTGAATAATTCGATTACGGCCTGGCATATAAAAATGGGACCTGGGCTGGCAACATACATTTATCGAGATTCATTCCCAACATTAGTCTAATATGGGGGTTTGGAGATCCCTTCTTTTCAAGGCCTTAATGGTTCCAGGCGCCTATATAATCCAGATGCAGATCATTCGTTTGGGCCTTATAGATCCAGCAAAGCCCTCCTTTGACTCTGTGATGAACATCAACCAGATGACTCCAGGCGTCGACACATGGCTCCCATGCCTCTTAAGATTTTTTTTTTCCTCCTTCTCTAATTTCATCTTCCAATTTAGGATTTCTCTCCAGGAATGCTCTAGGAAATTTCCCACCAGACTTCTTAAGACCCTTTTGTCATCGTCAAGGTCGTCACCCCCGCTTGTCACGTGATGCAGTAGGCATTGTTGATTGTTCTGCTCGCAAGCCATCGCAATGAAGCATTCATTGGAAAGGAATGTTGAATGTTCACATATCTCTGTAGATCGAGATGCCAACGACTCTGAATCTCTCTCAAGCTTTCCATCATGAGTTACTCTTTTGAGTTGCGTCTGCTGTCAACTCTTTGCTCTCAGGTCGAAATACCCGCTATTACATGGTGTGAACATGTGATTTTGCAAATTACGATGGGTGATGCATCGAGTGGAAGTGTGCACATGTGTTACAACAACAGGGTAAGACATGACAGCTGGGATGATGAGTGAGGGCCAGGGGAGGAAATTTCCTCCCTTCGATCCCCCATCAATCAACGAGAGATTCTCCAATCACATGTGTCATCCAGGTGCTTCCCCTGTCTCTCTCTATCATCCATCCCTTTCAATGCGGGGATTTCTCCGAAGCACTTGAATAGATCTGAGGAATAGAGGATAAGCTGGTTTCTTCCTAGCCTCTCAATCGCCGCCTTCACGATTGGGGGAAGACGGATGTGATGAGAGCGTTGGTATATTCGAAGGGTTATTTCACCTTTGTGGGAGTGTCTGTTGCACGCTATGTCACTTATCATCTCCACGAGACTGAGTGCTTCGTCCACACGCGAGTGAAAGACTCACATAAATAGTCCGACTGGCTGCAACAAAGGAGTCCACTCAATTCGAGAATTCATCTCTTTCCGAAATATGTAATGGCTGGAGATGATGGTGGAAAAGATAAAATAGGTATTTTCCGGGAATTGTAATTGACGTCATGGATTGGTACGCTTCAGTTACGAAGAACCATGTGCGACAATTTGCTGGGCTCTGACAGGTATAACCCTGCGTTCATGTCGTTGGTGCTCTTGCATGGTTTTGCAACGAATAAAGGAAGCTAAGACTTGCCTTGAAGCATCTGTCTCTGACGTCATTCAGAATTTCCATAGAATATTCTAGGAGCCAATGAAAGTTCAAGCAAGGGAGTATGTGTAAGGTCCAATAAGCTGCTCTTATTTACGATGATGGTGATTATTAACTAATTTAACGAATGAATATTCTCGTGTGCTCCTTTTAGGACCGATATGGCAGGGGAAACATGGCCCCGGTGATGGACCCTCAACAGGACTGGGAAGTTCTGTGGGGATTCGAGAACGGGACTCATACCGTCCTCCGTTTCCGTCGCCGCCTTCACACGTGCGACTCCCACGACTGGACCTTCACGGTAAGTCTTACCTCTCTCCTCTTCGTGAATGTCTCTCGAGCACGGACCAGATGGCATCCAGATGACAGAGAAAACAAAGCATCTCTCTCGACGAATGACAATAGAGGGACACGGACTTGTCTTTCCCCTCCCCCCTCCCTCTCTCCAGCTTCCCTGCATGGATGCAATCAAGTGGATGGATTCTCTCCGGGATTGGTCATTGAAAGGAGATCAATGGAGGTAGCTGGCCCCCATCTAGGCCATCCATGAAGTAAATTAGACCCATCTCAATTACCTTGATTGTATCCAATATAGGTCTGTCTGAGATTCCTCCCCTTGTATTTCCCAACCATCATAACGGAATTTGTTCGCCTGTGTTTTTCCATCCACCCTTCCGGGCCCCACGAGAGGGGGGGGGGGGGGGGGGGGGTATAAAATAATTTTTTCCCCCCCCCCTCCCGGCCCCCGGGGGGGGGGGGGGGGGGGGGGGAATGAATCAAAAAGAGAATGAAAGGAAGAGGCACGGGGTTGATTGTGCATGGCATGTCGTGAATGGAGGAGGAGGACAGGACTCCATTGTGCTCTTTTGTACCGTAGTATGCAGGCTCACCGTCTGTCTGTGATGTGATGTGAGAGGCCTGGGGCAGGCATGCATGCAACCGTGAAATGATCTTTGTAATTGTTCACGGAGGCCCCACCTGAAGTCCTTATAATAAGCTTCATGATGGATTCCACCCCCCGGCATGCTCTGTATCTAGTCTCGTCCTTCACGTATGAAAGAGATAAGGGAGTAATAAAGGTACAGTGGGTAGCATCCGTGCGGCTCTCGAACCGCCGAATATCTTGGGGTAATGGGACATTGACATGCGAGCTCTATGGTTTGCATAGCATGCATCTTTCCATTAGATGACCCGTATATGTGTCGTGTGTGCATCGCGGAAACCTAGGAGACCTCATGTGGCGACATTAGTCAATATTATTTATGACCTTTTCCCTCCACAACGATGGAAGAGAAACGATCATTTTCCACCTGAGTGGGAGGAATGCAGGGAAAAGACAGAGGAGGGACGGGAAGAGGGAAAGGCGGCGGGGGACAACCATCTTTTTCCCTTCATGACACTCAGCATTTATGAGCTCTCTAAAAATATATACAGAGAGACCTCCCTTAGCTTGTCACCGTTCGGGATACGTGAATTCCTGGGCCTTTTCTCTCCTTCCTGAATATTTACTCAAAAGGCCTTTCCTCTCGTTCCTTTTCAATCGATGAGAAGCTTTGCAGCTAGTCTCGATAGTACATTTTGCACGGGGCGAAAAACCTATTGTCGTAAGTTCGCTCTCACCTGGGCCCTGGGGAAAGCAGGGAGCTTGCTTCTGAATAAGTGATACTCCTGGAAGACAACGAGGAGGGAGGAAAATAGGAGGCAAGAGAAAATCTCGTTGGACCAGGGCTTTCCCTTCCATCAAACTTTAATCCTTCCCATTGATCTTATTCTCCAGATCCATCTCAACTTTTCTTCTTCTCTCCCCTCTCTCGTATCCCTATCTATTTTTGTTTTCTATATCCCTCATCTATTTCAGAGGGGTTCCTGCGGAAAGGATCTGCGAGAATGTCATGAGGCTGTCGGCATATTTGATAGCACGGAGAGAGAGAAAGAGAAAAGGCGAGGAAGGGTTTTAATTAGAGGACGAAGATATAGGCAGCAGATGAAAGGGAGATCCCTGGAGAGCTGGGACGAAAATTATCCCTTGCTCGTCTGCTTTGTGTGTCTTGTATCTTCTGACGGTATTACACACATGGCCTATATACTCTTCTTGTTTCTCTTCCTCACATACGATATATGCTGTACATTTCATCTTATTCCCTGCCTTGCGTTCGGCATAATAAGAGCGAAATCGCTTCCATGTAAATTCCACGTGGAGCTCGCTGAAACTTCGAGGAGCGTTTCTGATGTTCTTCGGACACTTCCAGTTAGAATGCACTCTTCTTCCCTTTCACAAGTGGCGGCAGACGTATTTAAAGTTGTGTGCAAAGTTTGATCATATCCAGCAGTGGCTGACAATTTGCTTTTACATTTAATTATGCGCTGTCAGAGTGACAAAAGGCTGCGAAAGTTTTCAATTATAGCCAAAGATGATAAAAACTTATTCACTCAACTTTAAAGACATTACTGATGTGACGTGGAACACTTTGGGGAATCTCCCTCTCTCCCTCTAGTCATATCTACGTAGTTGTGTCCCCCCCCTCCCCAACAAAAAATAAATAAGTATAATAAAAAATAAAGAAAGAAAAAGACAAGGAGCGAGACACTCGGGTCGGTTATGTATTCTTAGTCATAGGCCCAGTTTTGGGCTAAAAGAATTCCTCCATGAGCTTTACGGAAATAGGAAGCGTTTGCGTCGAACGATGCAGTATGAAAGAGGGAGCCCTTTACTCTTGCATTCCCCTCACGCCTTCATATCTTGCCATGAACGATGTGCGGTGCATGCATCGACAACTCCCAAGCAATCAAAGGCCTTGAGGTGAATTTTTCTCATCGCTTTGTGAGGTTCCTTAGGAGGCTGCCAATTTTTGAGATTCAATCGGTTCATTCCTCTCGAGCTGGAATAATAGTTTTTTAATGTTTTTTTTTTTTCCAGCCTCAATTAATTTTTCCCTACTGGAAAAGATGAAAGACATTGGCATTCCTTGCCGAGCGATTATCGTCATTTCGAGTCGCACGAGTCACGGGACCCTAAAATGAAAGTCCAGGCGTGACACGATGCCGACACGACGTACCGTGTTGAAAGAAGCGGAAAGCGAAATGAGTCGGCCGCATTGCCCCACTAACCCACCCGTACGAGCATTTGACAAAAATGAAAGCACGAAGCCCCGAAGCAGCTGGGATCCAGATGACGAAGGAAACAAAAGCCTGCCGGTGGCCGACGGCGATCATCATTCAATGCAGCCGAAGACCCCTTGTTGTTTTCGCTGACATCTAGGAAAAGTAGCCCCGGTGTGAGGCCGGTCCTCGTTCGTTTCATAAAAATTCAGTAGTTATTTCTCTCGAAGACGAATTAATAAACCAAAATGTTTTCGCACTACGACAGGGCGTCTGCTAGTTTTCAGTTATGGGCTCACATCGGAGTATGGACTGCTGAGACATCTTCTCGGCAAGCTCCTCTCGAGGAAGTAAATATGGGTCCATCTTTAAAGTATTTCGCGTTAGAGGAGAGAAATTTCTCACGAACGTTTACTTTGCTTCTTGGTCCCAGCCCGCATCGCGTGAAAAGCTCGTGAAGGAGGAATCATTACATCAACTCCTCATGGCGTCGATTCCTCTGCATATTTCACGAAGCTTCTGCTTGCTTTCCCTGTCCCCGGTGCACAGGGTGACACATAACCTCGCCGTCAGCGCCCGCAAACCCACGACAGGAACGACTCTTTTTTTTCTGACGATGTTTAAAAAGCGTGGGAGATGTTTCATTTCGAAAAATCTGGCGAGGTCGTGAAGGGTCCCGTCAAGAGATCAAATACTCCCTCGAAGCCCTTGCAGTTACGAAATGAGTGAAATCCTTCGTGAAGCAACACCCGAGACATTGCATGCTGCACTTGATTGCTTAATTGGTTGCATAAGTACCGAGTGGGGAATGTTATTTTCACCAGATCGATAATTCTCGTGCCTTCCTCGTTATCCCCGTGCATATGAGAAAAGGTGGTTATGGATGACTCTATACAGAAAAGTAGGTGCTTATGGATGACCCTGTACAAAAGGCGATTCCACGCATGTACAGGCAACCACTGTATTATGCATTATATGCTGGGCCCCGATGTAGATCCTGATTCTGGGGGGGAAAAAAAAGTGTTTCGCCAACTCGCCTTATCGTACGGTCACGAGCGACGCCGGAAGGGCAGAGTATTATTATATTTTCCCTCTTTTTCCATCGGTATGACCCTTGGCATTTCCACGTTGAAATACCATAACTCAGTGTCTCGTCTTGTTCGTGTTCATAATTATAGGGTATGACCACTTTCGCATCCAACTACCCGGTAGATGAATACGACTTTTTTGCATAAGATGTTGAACACGTTTTGCAGGTGCACTTTTGCATTAAAAAAAAGTGGCACCTTTTCCGCTCAAAAAAAAGTAATACGAGATTCAGTTCATCGCAAATCATTTTCTTCGACCCCGGTACTCAGAGTGTGCGGAGGTACAGGAAACGGTACTCCAAATAGAATATAATGGGGGGGGGGGTGCATTTCTCTCTAAGGGCATTCTCCGTAAATGTCTGGGAAACTCCTATGTTGCTGTGGGATTTTCTATTATGCATCTAATAAAATTTAGTGATTTCATGTGGAAAAAAAGACAATGCGGGTCAATATGACCCCAAACGACTACAATATACTATTGGAACAATGGGTGAAAGAGTATGGAGGAGAGGGTTCAATTTGAACTCGACTAGGCATTCTAATTCGATTCTCATGCCGAATTCCTACTCGACCGAATCTTATGGGGTATTTTTTATTTCTTTCTCTCGACAGGGTGACACGGTTCGAGTGTTGTATGCCTACGATGAGGAAGACCCGACCCCGAGCGGGGGGAATCTCAAGTACCACGGGTTGTTCCGCCGAGGCTCCCGGAGTCTCTATCTGCTTCAGAGGCCGTCCAAGTCGCCGCAGGTGCTGCCGAAGCAGAGCGCCGATGCGAGGACCTGGGACCTGCTCAACAACAACGTGAGACTGCTTCCTGTCCTTTGTCCTTTATGGGGTGAGACCGGAGCAGAAGTTCCTTTCGTGGAAGGGGGTTCGCGGTTACGGTGAGCGGAGCACTCGAATTCGAGAGTTCATATCCGGTGAAAAGTTTTCTTTCGCTCTTCTCGCGAAAGTTCGAAGATAAACCATCAAGTCCTTATATCCAGCTGCACGCATGTGACGTTCAAATTAGGATTTTTTTCTCAATGAACTGACATGTTATCCAGCGGTAAACAAGGTTACAGGAAAAAATATGAAAATTTAATTAGCCAAAATTATCGTTCATTTCTTTTTGTAAGTTTTGCGACGCGGAACTCACTAGGTTTTTTGCCATTGTCATCATTTCTCCGCAATTTCCACATTTCTCTTTGTTCTAAGCATAGTTTGATGCCGCTTGAAATTTTATTTGCCAGGGTCGCTACAAGTACGGGTTCGTTGTCCGGTTCAATACTCTTTAGCTGCATCGAAAAACAAAAATGTTGATATATTCATGCTCATGTCCCTCGCATATATCGTCAGGGATTAAAAAACAAAGAATTTTCTCGGTTGAAGAGTGCATTCGCACGGAATACATTTAGATATATTCCTGAAGTGCTTTTTTTTGCAGATTAGATGTATTTCATCTATGGAAATACCATTTCCACAGTCACGCGTGAGACGCAAAAATAGACTGTCGCCTTAGAGACTGAAAAACGAAAGAGCACAGAAAGATGGCTCGGTCGAAATGAAGCGTCACAGTATTGATGGAGCTGTCACCGTCAGAGAGACATGATAAAAGATGATATATTTTCTGAGGGTCGATCATGTTGCTATAGCTGCGTTTGCATTCGTGGACGAGTCTGTCAAAGCCCAAGTTAGAACGTGATGAAATGTTAGTACCAAGCACCCCAACGTATCGGCCGTTTCGGTAGTGTTGCAAGAATCGTTCGGCACACGAAGGGGTCGCTTCGAGAAATGGGCTTCGATCGCATGAAGTCTCTGAAGGTTCTTTCGTAAGGTCATCTCAAATCATCGTAATCGCGTGGCCTGCAATTCCGGAGACCTGAACTTTGAAACGTCCGAGAACGCAGGGGATTGCCACTTTATGTAATGATCGTTGATATTAGTGGTGGCAGCACACTCGATCCTATTTGTTGTTACGTGCCGAGCGGCCGATGATGTCGGTTGAAATGCGACGCCGATGTATTCCAAGTTGCTGACCGCAGCCACCCTCACACCCTCGAAACGATTCCGACCGACTCCGTCGAGTCGACCGTGACCCAGTCGCGAAGAGACGAAAGAGATGGCATCCCTAATATTCGAGTCGAGTACTATAAATCTTCCTCGGATGGCATCGCCTTGATGGAGTGGTACACGGCTTCTGTGGCAGTGTACACGAAGAGGATTAAACTGTGAGAATGACGTGAAAGGTCTCACCTCTCGCCCGAGGAGCAGCTTGGTTTCATGGCTGCTTCACGTTCACTCTCGGTAGAGAATGAGGGTGTTTCGGTGCAAGTAGGCTCATCTATTATGAAGTGACTGGGGTAGAAGCTGAAAACGCTTTAAGGACTGGAATGGGTATATTTCAACCAGATCGTTCGTCCCATTTCATGAATATTTCGACTGTTGAGAGCTTTGCGTGAAAAACTAGGTTTTTATTTACTTAAGAGTTCAAGGGAGACGAAAGATAAGCGGCTCTACCCTTCGGCGAAAAGGAATTTAATGGCTTCAAGAAACAAAATGTTCGGTGCCTCACGTTTAATGAGACACGAGGTTAGTGGAAGTCTTGCTCGAGATTGAGTGTTATTGTGATTAAGACTGAGTGAGGTTGAAGGACACGGGGATTGACGAAGAATCGGGACCAAGAAAAAACCGATCGTGTCTCATAAAAGAATGCTGGGGGGGGGGGGGGGGGGAGGGCTGAACCAGATACTTTTTTATGAGCTCACGGAAACGCCATATGCGAGGAAAGCCCTTTCTTTACCCTATTTGCCATGTCAAAGATCTTTCTCTCCTTATCGCCTTGTTCCCCTCCTTCCATCATATTCATAAAAATATTTTTACAATCCCTGGCCCGAGCTGAGCACGAAACAATGTCACGGATCCCAGGGCCAGGGCAACGGATTCGCGTGATATCATCCGCTGATGAACTCGCGCGAAGACGCTTCCTCGATCGCACGCCGTATCGACTGGAGGCGTGATCGCGAGGGGCGGTGCCGGAATCCCACGCGAATGCAAACGTGCCGATTGCCAGGCGCTAGGGCCTTGCGCCAAGAAAGAAATGGAAATAAAAGAGACCGGGGGAGATGGATGTGGATGGTTTCTCATATGAAATGGACCATGTGTGACACGTTTCTCCCCCTTCGAAACCCTTGGCTCACGTTTCAAATCTTCCCCTTCCTCTCCCTCGTACGTGCATTGTGCGTGCCTCCACCCTTCCCCCCTTCCACGGGTAACAGAACGTAAGCGGATACCCCGCTCGAGTCAGTCAAGGTGTTGGCCAAATGGACTCGCTTCCCCGTTTTCGCGGTTTCCCTGGCAGGAGCCCAAGGAAACTTGGATTTTACGGGGAGGAGGCAGAGGTGGTAACGGTGTTTCGTGTTGGCAAACGAGCTAAAAGCAGTCATGATAGCTGATGCATTATGCGAAAGATGGATGCCAGGTGAGGATTCTTGGGACTGCTCATAGATTATGACGACCTTGGTTTCCGACTCGAACTATCGCAGAAGCAGACATCCAGGTCTCTGATTAGCTCTACGTCGGCACAACCATATTTTACTGTCTGGAAGCAGGAATTCTTCTTACGATACATTACGGCTTTCGTGTCGACGTTCTACACAGTGCCCTCTATTTCTGTCTTCTCTCCTGAGACTCCTTACGTCCACACCATCTTGATGAGAGTGTTTTAATGGAGAGGAAAATGCAACATGCTGAACTCAACAGACACCGAAATGGACTGTAAAAGGCGCGATTCGAGAAGAGCGACGCCGCTGATGTGGTCGCCTTTTCCAACACGTGTTGCCAACGTTGTCCCGACCTGTCAGTCACTCAATTTGGCCCTCCGTAATGATTTTAGAGTACCTTTTGCGGATATTTAAAATCGGACCTTGCCTAATTGGCATCGTAGCGATTCCTCGCGCTCCTCTCCCTTGGTCTCTGCGACACCGAGCTAACTCTCACCGATAGCATCAAACGTTAAGCTGTTGCTGGAGCATTTCCATGCTAATAAGGCTGTTGATTCTTTGCCAAGATAGAGGTTTGTCCAAGAGTTAAGGGCGATCGTTAGCGAATGACCATTACGTGTTGTGCCGCAAGTTTAAGCCCGGTGATGCCATCCACGTGTCTGACAGATGGATTCTCGTTTCGCAGATCTCGTTGCCCGAGAACAAGGACACACTGTACTGGTGCAAGGTGTTTCGCCTTCCTCCTCTTGGGGATCAGAAGCATCATCTCATCGGGGTGAGGGAAACGTCTTACACTTTCCCCGATCTTTCTTCTCCTTTGAAACGACGTATGAAAGCCTTTCCGTTGCTTTGTGCGTGTAGTACGAGCCGCTGATGGATGAGAAGTACCCCGGGTACATGCACCACGTCCTCGTCTACGAGTGCCACGGGCACGACAAGGAATTCCAACAGATGGAAGATCACACGGGATTCCAGTGTTACCAGGCCAACATGCCGCCTTTCCTCTACGACTGCAACAACGTCATCGCCGCCTGGGCTCTTGGTTCCAACGTGAGTCTCGCCTCTTCTCCGTGGGACATTTTTCAGTGTTCTCATTTTCATTTTGAAGTCAGATGCGATTTCGACCAACGGTTCACATTTTTTAAATGCCGAGCATGCGACCGATATATAGGACGTTTTTCGAGAAAGGAAATGGTCAGTTGGGCTCCTTCTCCGGTTTCTTCGGCCCGTGATCGCCACGAGTGATTTTTAAGGTCTACCATACCCGTATCTCTTGGACGTAGCACGCAAAGTGGCGTGTGGGTTATCCCACTTGACAGATACTTTCAAGAAAGCAGGTCATCAGCGGAGAAGAGCTCTCCATCGGCGGGACTCGGCTCGGTCGCAAGCCAGAACCAAACCCGCTCGCGTCTCGAATCGCGATCGGGAGGTTTCGTCTGGCTCTGCGCTGCAAAATGCTCGAGTTGCATCGCCCATCTGAAGCCCTACACGGCATGGCTTTTTTCTTCGAATATTTCATATGCCCGCGAACGAATAAGCACTCCCATCGCTTCGAGTGTAATCGGAGATTGATCTGGTTCGCCGACACGCGATCCGAATCGAGTCTCAGGATGCGATGAGAAAAATCGACATCGTTATGCAATTGTTGGTTGTTTACCAGCGAGCGAACTGGTACTTCCATGCTATTCCCGCGATATCCCATTCTGAAATATATCAAATAAACAGCACTCTCCGGAGCACTTTGAAAGGATATAATAGCCCATTCTATTCCTATCGATGTCATGGAATTCCGTGCCCCGATCGCGGCAAATTCTATATTTAGTATGGTCTTCGTCTTCTTCGATTTATTGAACAATAAATGAGGATTCATTCAGGTACAAGTGTCATGACAGGATAATCATGGAAAGACGGCTCGTCCCGTCCGATCTCTTCTATTTTGAACCGTATATTTTTGCTGGTAATTTTTTTTTCATTCATTTAAATGATGAATTCTAGGGAGAACGGGAGGGTTTATTTCCCTCGGGGATCGCCACTCCACTTATTGCGTGGAGTGGGAATCGACTGGGATTTGGGCCATCGTGCAGAATGCAAAGTTTTTCTCATTAACCCTTTAAATGTTGAATGCTCTCCCACAAAACTGCACCATCTGTGCTGAATATTTTTTGGGGAAAACGCAGCTTGCTGAAATAAACGAAACAAAACGACTGTTACTGGGTCTACCGAGCCCCTATTTTTTTTTATATTATACTCGAAGAAAGTTTCAAGATGCATATACGTAACCATAGTACATTAAGGATTAAAATAGATTTTCATAGTACCTTCAAGTACTGTGGCAGTCCTATCACCACCTTCCGTCCCGTTTAGTCTAAGCGATGCCGAAAATCGCGTGGGTCTCTTTCCAAAACAGTGTGTATCGGTGTGAATTCCTGATAATTAACCCTCCCAGAGCCGACTTCTCGTATTCCATGGACATCGTAGCGTCGCCGATGAAACTAGATTACCCGAAACCCTCACGAGGGAAGCCATCATCAGAGATTATAATCGATTTATGCCGGTGATTATCTCCTAGGAGACTGGGGGATTCGCTTCGGTACGTTGCCAAGGCGACTCATCTCCTCTTTCTCTTTGACGTGCTCCAGATTTCGCCCGGTGAATGGATGTTTTCCCGCGAAGCAACAGATAGCATAATTCAGCTTGCTCCGCTTCTCCCTACCTCGGGGGCGCGTAGGTGTACGGTCTGAAAAGGTTAAGGGGTGAAGGCGGGAATTCCACCGTTCAGACGTCACTAGCGATACAAAAATACTTGATATAAATGATGAAATACTGTAATACTCTGATACGGTTCTCGTTGCCTGTACTCACGCACAGGCAACGAAATATCCCTTTTACACTCACTCCAATACTCGGACCTCTATTCTGAGCGTATGACTTTTTTATGGTTCATCGATAATATTCTCGTTTTAGAGCTTTGGGAGGCATGATATTTTCATGGCTTGCCCACAATTATATTTCCATTTTTAGACCTTTCTTGGGCGATCTCATTTTCATCAAAACATGCAATGTGGGGGGATGATTTAAGAGGTCGGAATCTCCTTCACGGCGACCTTGAGATAGGAAAAAGAAGCTGCACTTGTGGATCGATGCATCAAATCAAATTTATTAGCTTCTACTCATTTAGGTATAGAAAGAGCCGAGAGAGGAAGGAATTCTGGCTGCAATTTTCCTCATAGCTTCAATTTACAGGGAAAACCATGGTCTGTTGTGTAGGCGTCCTTTTTAATAACAAGCAGGAAAAAAAAAAACCGGCATTGACAAGGGTAGAAGGCGAGAACGGGACAAAGAGGAGTATTTCCCGTTCCTTTCTTCACGAGTTCCTTCCGCCCTCGTTTTATGTTATGGAGGGCAAGGAAAAGGAAAAAGAAAGCGAAGTGCCATGGCCGAAGTGAGATATCGACGAGATAGCTTCCGCATTAAGTAGAAAATTGTGTTTCGTGCTCCATACGTAGAAATGTGACCCCCTGGGGGTGATGAAAATGGAGATGTTTTAGAAGTGAATTGGAGTCGGGATGATGAGGATGATGAAAGTGGATTGTAATGTAAAGTGCTTGAGAAATCCCTTTTGTGGTCCCTTTCGATGACGGCCCTTGCGAGGGGCGTACGCCGGGCCCCAGCCGCTTTTATCGACCGTCAATTAATCAAATTTCCATACGGATCTTTCCCTTCTCGATGCGTGATGTAAAATGGCCTTTCGCAAGGGCAGGGCCAGGGGCGGATGCACCTGCTTCGTGATTCGCGTTCATTAACTGTAATTAAGTGCCTTATCAGGGCTCATTAGGGGACAAGAGGGAAGATAGTGTGGGAAATGTCTCAGTGACAATTCTCCCCGACTTGAATGAATATGTTAATGAGGTGAGACGGGGGACCCCCCTCCCATCCTCGTGATTATCTTCGACTCATATCTGGACGAGAGGGAGAAAAAGAATGAAAGCTCTTCCATCATTCGGGATATCGCTTCCATCATCGGGATATCCCCAATTCAATGGTCTTCCTCTTTCATTCCCCGCTGCGATGTAAGTACTCGCACTCTTTCCAAGCGATCGCTCGCCGTGCTGGGTTCCCTAAAGATTCTCATAGGAGGCAGGGAAGTGGAATCGACGTCGAAAAGTCAGTCCCAATTTTCTCAAAATGAGTTGGCGACTCTCGTCAGTCGTACGGGAAGTAGACGTGTGTGCTAGTGTGAAAGGGGAAAATCTTGCATGGAAATGCAACGTTTGACTAGGTTAACAATATAAAAGCTACCTGCCAAACGTGTCGTTCTCATACTACTTTGAATGATGATATTAAGATTTTTATCGAAACCTTGCCGACGTGATGTCCATCTGGATGACTCAGTTTGAATAGGATCCGGGACGTGTGGGATTTCATGTCACACTTGATTCCCATTCCAAGCCGCCCAGGAGCCGACCCGCTGGCCCACAAGCTCTGTCATGTCTTGCATGAACGTGTAGGGGCCTCATGAGGATTCTATTCGCATGCTGCGTTCTCGCACCCATGGGCTTGGCATGGCCTTAAAAAGTGCTTCCACGAAGAGGACGCCCTACAAGGAGCCGTCAGACAATGGATAGGGTGGACAGTTTAACACAGATAGCAAGTCGACCGTCTAGACATTTTTCGATTGGGGTGGTTCCTGGAGTGAGAACATTCACCCCATAATCGCCTTCTTATCTTGTCTATCGTCCGAGCGATGAGGAAGTAAGGAAAAGTACCTGGAATGTATGTTTTCTAACGCTGGAATTAATAACGTATTGAGCTCGGGGGGGGGGGGGGGGGAAAGGTTATTAACTGGAAGAAGTTGNGGGGGGGGGGGGGGGGGGGGGGGGGGGGGGGGAGAAAGGTTATTAACTGGAAGAAGTTGGCATTCGAGGCCTTGATGCTCTAGTCATGGTTCGCTGCTGCCTATTCGAGATTTGCAGGCTGATTGCCAACGATGTCTTCCTTGCAGGGATTCGTGTTCCCGGAGAGGGTTGGATACCCGCTAGACTCGGGGGTGACCCGCTATTACCTCATGGAGACCCACTACGACAACCGAGAGCAGGACGGGGGGATCCGGCAGACGTCTGGCCTCCGTCTCTTCTACAGGGCCGCCGGCGAGTTCCAATCGGACATCCAGGACGCGGGTGTCCTGTCCCTGGGGATCCACCCCAACTGGAAGCATCTCATTCCACCGGGGCAGAAGACGGTCGTCTCTCAGGGTCACTGCGTTCCTGCATGCACGGAAGAGATCCCCAGCGGAGGCATCTCTGCCTTTGCCGCCATCCTCCACACCCACTTGATCGGTGAGGCGACTCGCAATGCCCTGCCTCTGTCTTGACGGCTTAATAACGCCTTCATTAGAATAATTAGACGGTCGGGTGTCTCCTCTTCATTGCATCTCATCATTCTTTCTTCCCCTCCCGTCCCTGATTGAGTGTGGAAAGGGACCGAGCGAAAGGTCTCTGTCCTCTTGACCCCCCCCCCCCCCTCTCGCATAGGCATGAGTATTGCAATTAAAACGTTTCACGCAAGCTGTCCCCGCGTGATGGAGCCCTTTTGTCCTCTCCTAACGAATCTCTCCGGTTCGTATGATGGCATGCAAAAGACGGAGGAGGGAATTCTCATGATGTATGAGAGGGAAAGAGAGGATGCGGCCATGTAGCCACATATTCCTTTACCGTAATGAATGCAAATAGGCATCTGGTCACTTTGCATAATATCACTCCCTCAGCATGTGAGAGATGAGAGATTTGCATATGGAAATCCCATCAGAGGTCACACCCCGGTCTCGTTTTTTTTGCGAGGGAGAATGTCCAGACGGGGCACGGGACACGAGCGCGAGAATATAATTTCGTTACCATCCGATTCTGGCAGGCGAGAAGGTGAGCGTGCGGCAGATCCGAGGCGAGAAGGAACTCCCTCCCATCGCCTCCGATGACAGCTACGACTTCAACTACCAGGAATATCGGGAATTCTCGGAGCCAAGGAAAATCCTCCCTGTGAGTCCATCTCCGGTCCCATTTGAGAGGGACAGTCGAAAAGAGCATTCCGTTTCATCGTCGCACCCATACAGATGAAAGCATTCCTTCATATTCGCGAATGATGGACTTATCCTTCCGCTGGCTGCATCCAAATCCTCGTATATGTCAGCTTATTTCTTCGTTCATATATCTTCATTCTTTTGGTACTTTCAGTCATGGCATACTTCATACTACTGCTTGAAAATATTCGTGATGGAAATTCATGATTGGGAAGAAACGTTCACATTGTGAATGTCGTGTGTGAGAAATTTCACTGCCTTTGGACGAAAAAAAATAGGCCACGTTTTAGCAGACCTGTTGACACTTGAATGCGGCTATCAGAAAGATGTACCCATCTAGATCTGAAGATGAACCTGGATGATTCATTTGATAAAAGACAATGAAGCGGCATTTGCTTTTTATATTGTTCTCGTACGTACCACTCGTATTCTTCTCGAAGAGAAACTGTGCACCCCGTCCCTTTTCAAACTGGTTTGGTCCCGTTTTTTCTCTCGTTCGCCGATTTTTCCCATGCCAAAATCACAGAAAATTGTATATCATCGGAAACCTGTACTTGCTGTACTTGTCTGACTTTACAACGAATGACCATCATCTGTCATTGTGGAATGGCATGACAAGCAGCCATGGGAAAAGATAGGGCATTGCTGCTCAGCGAAACGCAGCCAACCAGGAGTTCCATTCCAAGAACAGCCCTTTATATTCGTTATGTAATGAGACTAATGCGGACTGAGTCAGCATGTGAACACTCATGCTTGAACACAAAGCAGACTGTAATTAGTTTGCATCATTTTACTTTGGATGACAATGCATGTCTACGTGTCTCGTATTTCCGAAAACGACTGCACATGTCATGTGCAGCGGTAAGAAGTTTCACTCATCAAAAAATTATTGTAATATGTGAGTAACTCTTAGCAGCTGTTTCAACGTGGTGACGCGATTAATTAAACTTACTTTTTAGGCCAAATTAGTATGTCCGAGGGGGTTGGCCAAGACATCTGGATATTCAGCTGACAATCGATCAAGAATAATTGATGATGTATGACATGGGACATTGTGATGTTTTTCTACTCAGGGCGATCACCTGGTGACGGAATGCGTGTACAACAGTCATCAGAGGGGAGCGATGACGCTTGGGGGATATTCGACCAGAGAGGAGATGTGCCTCGCCTTCATATATTACTATCCTCGAATGGATCTCTCGATCTGCTATTCCCTTCCAAGTCTTTCCACGGTCCTTCAGTCCCTGGGCATCCAGGAGCTCGTCCCGTAAGTAACGCGATCGCGTGACTCGACGCCTTTCCCTCCGGTCATTATGAGAAATTTAATGGCAATCTGATAACAGTGTGACGAATCACAGTGGGCGATTGTCAAGTAGTATTGTTTGATGACTGTCGATTTGCAGTTAGCAATTTCAAGCCATTTGTGAGGATTGTTACACCTGAATGCTCTGCAACTGCGTATCCCTCATGATTTGCAGGGGATCAAATCCAATCAAAATCAAGTCTCCGGGAAGCCTGAGTGGGGTCACCCTGGAAGAGCGGCTCGTGTCGTACGACTGGAAGCACGATTTCCCCAAATTCCAGAACATCACACTCAAGGGTTCCTTCCAGCCCATGTGCTGGGCTTTCGACAGACCCATCCTCACTCCCGTCAGTCTCTTCCTCTTCTCACTTCACTTTTAACCATTGTCAAGCAATTTTTTTCAGCTAGAATTCGTGATATGATTATGTAAAGCATTTCTGTAAGCCCCACACTGACATGAATAACTAGAACATCGCCTTTTGAGGGCACGTCAGGTTCTTACAAGTAAAACTTTGAATCTCTTCCAGTTCCTTCATGCTCAAAAAGTCTTCCACTGCTGAAGATTCTTGTTTTTTTTTTTTCCAGGAAAAGGACAGGAAGGAATACAATCCACCGGTGATCCGAGTGCCGTACAAGCCTTTCGACAGGTGCGAGTCGCAGAGCCTGTCGTCGCACGTTCCCCTCACTCGCCACAACCACCATCTCATGCCCCCGAGGAAACACCCTCCGGACTTCGAACTCCCTTTCATCCAGGTGTCGACCAAGAATCGGACGTTCCCCGGTCCGAACGCAGACGTGCAGGAAGGCATGATGGACGTGGGGACGTCGGCTGCATCCAGCAGTCGATTGAGTGCAGCCGGGACGAACGTTCGCATGTCTCTGGGGCACTGGACCATGTGTGCATTCTTCCCGCTCCTCTCTGCATTGCTTCAGCACTTTTCCAGTGACTCGTGAATCACGTGCACGCGAGTCACGCGACTGTGATGAAGGAACCGTGTGCGCCTCAATCGCCAAATGGAGTGCCCTTCCTTCCCTAAACTGTGATCATGCTCATCTCCAGACATTTCTTTTATCAACTGAGAGGAATACATTTATTTCATCTAGTCATGTTGAGAGTCGGGGGTCACGACTCGACTCTGAATGAATTTGGCAGCTGAGCTTTCACGGCATGCAATCAAATGCTTGAATACTGCCTGCCATACTCCTTTGTCCTTTGTTGTCTTTGCTCCTTTGTTGTCCTTTCCTCCTTTGTTGTCTGTTCCTTCCTGGCTTTGGACTGGTTTTCGTTACTAATGAGACAGGGTAGGACAATGAAGATGCTTGAGATGGGTTCTTGGAAGACCAGTGACCCAGTGGTTCTGATTCTGCCGGGAATTCTCAGATAGATTACGACCAGCTAGACTGCAGATAAATGACATCAGTTCATGAGCATCTCGTCCTTCTCTTCTTCGTCAAGGCCCAGGTTCCCAATGCATCCATAATGTTATTGGCAGTGGTGTTGCCTGTTGTGAAATCTTTTATTTTATCCAGAACCTATTGCTACTGTACTTTTGCCTGGACTCCATCAAACGTGTGATTTATTTATCTTTCCCTTTGCTTCTTGTGGTTCAGAGGAGCTGTAACAGACAGTGCTTTCTGATGCACAAAATATCGATCTGATATTGTGTCAACAAAGCTGGATTTTTATATGGAGATGCCCCTGTTCCTCATTTTTTGTACTGTACTAGTATGCCACACTCACAAATTCTTAGAGGCTCTCACACCTTGAGGAATTTAAATCACCCCTAGTAGTCCCCAATTTTAGGACCTATAGTGACAGTGAATGAATGCGTGGGACCTATCTTGCAGGCAATATTGTGATGATACCTCCATCTTTCACAAGGTTGGTAAAAAAAAAAAAAAGGGAGGTTTGGAGCCAATATTGGCATACTGGCCATCAGCTATGCTCAATATTTCCCACTACACTGAAAATGTACATTTTTCATGATTTGTCAGCAATCAAAAGAAGCACAATACCAACTTTTTGTAGCATCGGTTGGCTACCAGTATTTTTCTCCTTGGAGGTATCAATATCATAGATAGGTTTTCTAGGTGTTAGAACAGGGAGCAATATTGAATATAAATTTGATGCCAAGAATAACTAACTTAATGGATAAAATTAAATTTAGAAAGAATAACAGTTATTGATCCCTCCTGATAGAAATTTCCACCCTTGTAACTCACATCCACACTTGTGCAAGTACTTGAAAATTGCATTCTCCAGGTGACATGCACTGGATCCGTTTAACTTTAAACAGTGTCTATGGGAATAAGTTTATCTCTGTTAAACTGATTCGCATATGGGACCATTGTGAAATCAGATTAGTTTAACTTAAACGGATTCGGTGTATGTCACCCTCCATATATTGCGCAAGATCTCCAAGCATACAATGTTTCCTGGAAGTTTACTATTCTTGGAAATGTGGAAGATCTTGGTTGAAGATTGCAGACTGCAAAGCGTATGGACCGAGTTAGAGTAAAAACTGCATTACTTATTTTAAATTAAGGCTGTGCCGATCATCGCAATATTGAGATATTTCCCATCGGTGATACGTCTGTACGTCGCAATGTTTTTCAGCTACACACTGGCCCTTCCTGATCACTCTTGTACGCAACACGGGTGACTACGACCGATTACAGAAAGAGAAGCTGCACGATCGAGAAAGGAAACCTGAACGTAAAAGCTTTCATCACAGTTTGCCATCCCTCCGAATCACGAGGCCTGCATGGAGGGAAAACAACACCCGAAAGGTTTCCTTCCAGAGTGATGCTCCCCTGCCATTAGTCCCATGGAGAATGGGAAGGAGATGGCATCGGATGGCATGCATCAGGCGGCACTATCCCCACTCTCCGATATGGTATGGCCGAAAGGGGAGAAATGAGACATGTATCACCGTGGCTCGATGGCAACACCCTGTAATTCAGCCTGGGACCATTCAATAGAAAACGCCCCAGGTCGTGATCCCATCGCGAGCAGTAAACACCAATGTTCCTTTCGTTGCATCCCAGCTCTTATTAAATAGCAATGTGCGACTCCGAGCTGCACCATGAAGCAGTTTTCGCCGCGTTTCCGATTCCGACTTTCGGATTTTCGATATCGATCCCTTTAAAATCTCACGGCCCTAATTCAAATATATGAGGTTCCGTCGAACTAACTCAGGTGCTAATTTATTTCTGAAAAGCCGATCCAGTACTGCAAAAACAAAAAAGTACCTTTAAAGCACAAAACGAATCCTACTGAATGGGTCACCAAAACTTGCTTCGCACTACGGGAATCTCCAGCACCACTTGGCAGAAAACACTAAAACGTAATCACTAGCAAATGATAGTGACGAAGAGGAAGAATCGCTTGTCAGCTGCCGGTTGGCACATAAAAATCGTGTCGGGATTCGTGCGTTCATTTCTCAACTTATAGGCAGAGACATACAAATCATACAAATGTATGCATTAATCTTTCCTCTCGACCTCTCGAAAACGATAAATTTCTAGCTACCCACGGGCGGTTGTTCGATTAGGGCCTCGTCCACGCCAGAAAATTTTATTTCATAGATGAAATAATGTTACAAAAGAAACATTTTTGAAGAAAAACTTTTCGGCGTGAACGAGGCCTAATACACCACGAAAATTTTAATGCCATGCACAGTTCGAAAGGAACCACACAAGCGCTCATCGCGTCGGGCCGATCCAGGACGGATCACTCCATTGCCGATCGGAAAGCCAGCATCGAACGATTGAACAGGTAATCCGATAACCGATCACCGTCGAAGAGATCCGCAAGTCCATCGATGGAAAGTGGGATCCGTCGCGTATCTTTTCGTATAAGAAGTGGCGTGATGTGAAAAATTTCGAGGTGCCTTAGTCCAACGAACAATGTGGGCGTCTCTGGAAGCTAGATATTTTTCAATTTCAATTTTGACCGAGAGGAAAGATAGAGGCAATCTTGATATTACTTTTACGCTTCTGCCTCGTCTGGAAGTTTGAGTGATGCACCCAAAAATCTCGGCGCGCTTTTTATGCTCCACCCGGTATTATTTACACACGGACTGGAATGGCTAATGAATGTAGCCGTTTCCGCCACCTTTTTACGCACCGAACGATCGCAAGAAGAGCTTGCAAGAAGCACTTACAGCGCACAGACTTAATGGAAGTCACTGGCTCGAAAGTACAAACAGTGCTACTGGTTCTCTCTATGTGAGTTTGTTCGGAGCAGACGAACGCAGTTTTGGATCTTTTCCGATCGCGAGAAACGGACTGAATCTCAGCGGGAGAAGGGGAAAGGAGGGAGGGGGGAGAAGGGGAAAGGGGGGAGGGAGGGAGGGGGGAGAAGGGGAAAGGGGGGAAGGAGGGAGGGATGCCAAGCAGAGTGACAAATATAGGGAAGATAGTCGTTCCGCCTTGCACGGGGTCCAAGTCCTCGGCCGGCGGGGGGGCTGTCGTGCCCCCCCCCCCCCCCCCCCACCTCCCGCGCTTATTTACTGCCCCTACAAACCAAATTACTGTCGCTACAAACGAAATTACTGCCCCCTCGGCAGGTCGGGATGCATTTTTGCCGTGAAATATCATGAACGTAAAACATCGTCATCGGACGCCATCGTCGATGAACATCTGGACCCCAAAGAGGCCTGCAGACCTGTCTTTCGCGGATCGTCTTCGACCGAGAGACCTTTTTTTTTTTTGGAATCTCGTAGCAAAGAAAATCAGGAGCAGACGAGTCGGAACCACCGGACTTTTCCTCTCTCACGGGTCACGCCGGCCATCCAGTCATAAACTCTCTCAGAAATCCGATTTAGCAACCACGGTGTCAAAAACTGCTGCAGCTTCGAAGATGCGATCGTCGATCTGGTTTCGCTAAGAAGCAGAGCCCGAAGTGGAGGGGGAGGGGGAAGTGGATGGTACTTCAACTTCACCTTAATGGGAATCACTGCAGATATGACGAAAAGCTTGGGACACGTAGTTTGATTCGGAGTGTAACCCGATCCAGCCTGCCCCGAAGCTCCCGGTCCAGGCGAAGAGATCCGCCCATAAATCCGCCTATAAATCCTTTCCACGTATAGGAGGAACAGGGAAGGGGAAGTCGTCGCGACTCTGCAATCCCTTTACGAGGACCGAACGATGCCGATCGTCGATCTCGTACTTCCGCCGCAGCCGACGCGGCTTCGTTCGAAGCACGCGGTCCTACGCCGTTTCGAGGTACGAAGAGCACACGCAAACCTCGTCGGCTCTTTCACTCTCCGTCGAGTCCTCGAGAGGCGTCGGGAATCTCGAAACGTAAAACTCGGACGTTGAGTATGGGGAGAATCCGAGAAGAGAGTCCTACCGCGACCGTCCGAGATCTTTTTCGGGCATGCAAGGGAGAGTGATTAGTGATTCCACGGTGAGCTGCGGGCTTCTTCGTGTCCCCCTTATAAAAAAAAGTGTAACTACCGCAAGGTTGTGCCAGTTTAAAAGTGCTGTCCCCGATTCCCACACAATCTCGCATACCCCATGTAACCACCGGTGAACGGTTGCTTCCAGTACCCACTGCTTCCAGTACCCATTGCTTCAATTACCCATTGCTTCCCTATATTGCCTATTCCTGAGACCGATGGCCTCTACTCTCGGGGCAGAATGGCTCCCGAGTGAGTTTCTTTCCTGTCTAGGGTGGCGGGTTTTTTTTTCTCAAAATGTTACTCCTCGGAAGTATTCCCGCTTCGGCAGCCGGATTTCCCCGATTTCGGTCTCAGACGACCCGCAGAGCGCGTCGCCTGCCCCGTCGGTTTCCCGGACGAACCTCGAAGACCCTCACCGACAGGACCCCTCGTGGCCTTCGGCAGACCCATAGCCCGTGTCGTTGCCGCGGCTCGATGTGCCTCGGATGTCCACCGAGGAGTCTGCGTGGCTTTACGGTGCTCCAACCCCATTCTTCGATGCACTCGATGCCGCAGCCGAAACACCACACCGAAATTTCTATTCGGTCTCTGTCAGATTTCTGGAGAGCTAGCCTGCAGTGGGGGGGGGGGATTGAGGAAGTGGGGGAAGGGGGAAGGGGAGGGAGGAAACACTCTCCGAGTTTGGTTCTAGCCTCTCCTGCAACTCTGGTCTAAATGCATTCGCTACCCCCCAACCCCCTCGAGGGGGATTAGGGGAATTCTAGCCCTCCTCCCCCCTTTTGACGAAATACTGGCTACGCAACTGGTAGCGGAGAGGAAATTTGTGGGGTCGCCCACGTCAGCTCTTTAGGAGTTACTCTATCGCCTCGGGCTTCCCACCCCACCCGTTTTGCAACGTATGTGGCTTTCTCCCTTTGGTTTCCCCCCCCCCCCCCCCCCACGTTCTGGGGTTCCCCCCGATCTGGCCCTTGCTAACTGTGATGATGTAGGGATCTATACTAGATTGAGTGGAAAGCTTTTCCCTCGTATCCATCACAAGACCCAAATGTTCGCCGAGACGATCGCATGATCGATCTGCGATCCGCAGTTCCAGTCCGACTGAGTCCCCTTTCCCCCCCCCCCCCCTGCCCCCGATCTTAGGTATATTTATAGATGTTCTTGTGCTGTAAGGTGTCGGTGGTCAAGAACACTGCCAGCTCAGAAATCGAGCAACATTCCGCCACTCCTATTCCGCATCGCTCGTTGAAACGGACGGATCGCAAGACACCGTGTCGCTTCGTCTTTCC